ATTAAACGTTAGTAAATATTTTGTAGCGGCATCCAAAAATGCATTTGCTTGATCCAAAATGGAATGAGCTGAGGGTTAGCATTTTCATTGCTGAGGTCCTACAAATAAAGTGTGTTCGATTGGTAGATTCAATATTTAGTATCATTTAGAACATATTATTTAATGTATCATTTTGCTCGGTTTTTGTGATATCGCATGGTGATATCTTTCATGGTGAATTTCGAGTTTGTTTTTGTTCTTCAGTTATGTTTGCAAAATGCAACCCCCAATTCTAATATTGTGGCTGTCTTATCAGTCGGATGGTCAACACCTGCTGTGTGCAGCGCCCTCGACAATTCTAGCTTTAAATCTTGAGCCACAAACTGAAATCAGATGAACCATGTCTGCAGAAAGCTTGCAGGGGTTTAGAAGAAAGAAAAACCCGACAACATGGGTGATATTTCCTCAACCACTGGCCAAAGAGAATAAGAGATTTTCTTAAAGGCACAGCCGGATTTGTACCAATGATGTAAAGTCACAAATACAGCATTAAGTTGTGAAAGATCTGCTGACCAGGCTGATGGGCTGGGACACCTTTCAGAGGAGCGAAATCCTTGCAAGGGAGGCGGTGAATTTTAGATTTGATGAGTGTTACATTTTTATATCCATCCAGCTGCTTGTGAAAATACACAAAACAAGAAACACCGTCCGGGCATCTGCACTCAAGATTATTTGGACCGTTTGCACAGTCGCTCCCAGCCAGGGGCATGCCTGGTATGGGGCGCTGAACCGTGACAGGCACGGTGACGCAGTGCTTCAGTCATGCACGCAGAAGGCCTGGACCGAGTGGCGAGAAGCCTGAGGCACCTCGTGGGAGGAGAGGTCCGGGGTCCTAGGGAGCCTGCCTGGGGAGTCGGGGCAGCGCCGGGAAGGCGCCTGCGGAGCGGATGCTGAGACCCGGAGGCTGGAAGAGGAAGGATGTTCCTGGGAGTGGGAACATCCGATTCCCATTCTTCTGGCTGCTCAGGCCAAAAGCACTGGAGTGCCTCTGGATGTCGCCTTCTCTCGCCCCCAAGGTCAGATCTGTCAGAGAACATTTGGGATCCCAGCGCCTCCTGCTCCCCCACTTTTGCCTCCAGGCGGCCACTGCCAGGTCTGGTCTAGGAAACTGCAAGGACCTTGGGGCTGGCCTGCAGGCTTCTGTCCTTTGTGGTCTCTTCCCAACAAAGCGTCTGGCTTCCTGCTAAATGTGAGCAGATCCTGTCACTAACTGCTCCAAACCCTCCAGGGGCTCCCGACTCCCTTAAAGTAAACGCCAAAGTCTGTAACCAAGTAGGGCCCTGTGGGGCCTTCCTGGGCCAGGCCGCCGCCCCCACATCCTCTGCTGCAGCCCCTCTCTGAAGGACCCAGATCATAGTATCTCAGGTGTATTTCCTGAGTTTATCAGATGCTAAAAACCACCACCAAAGGGTAGAAATTAACTACCTGATGATGGAGAGCACGTGGCCTTCTGGCTCTTAGGGGTCGATGGTGTTGATGCCCTGTTCCCTCCACGTCAGCCAATCAGAGGACTGTGCACGAGCTGATCACACACCCTGCGACCCCCTCCCTCACCTGCCTTTAAATATGCTTTGCTGACACCCTTTAGGGAATTCGGGGTTTTCTGGGGCCTGACCCACCCCATCCTCCTTGCTCAGCCCTGCAGTAAACCTTTCTCTGCTCCAAACTCTGACGTTTCAGTTTGTTTGGCCTCATGGTGTGGTGGGTACATGAACTCACCTTTGGTAACAAGTCCTTAAAATGGCCTTTGGGTCTGATGGTCAGGCCCACCCCGTAGCCCCTCCCCTCCTCGCCTTTGCGCTGGCTGGGCGCTCCCTCTGCCAGGAATACCGTAATTAGTGAAGAGGGTGTGCTTTTTTCCCCACTGGCTGCAAATGAGTTTATTCTTGGAAGGAAAAATTATGATGATATTCAAGATAATTCAGATACTGGTCCATCAGGTTCAAAATCAAATGAACCATGCCAAGAAAGAAAATATAAAACATTAATCATCCTACTATTAAATGACAACTATCACCTTAAATGATTGTTGGCTTTTTATTTTTTCCTCCTTTTTTTAAAAAAAAATTGAGGTAGAGTTGCTGTACAACATTATAGAAGTTACAGGTGTACAGTTTCTAAAGGTTTTCCTCCCTTTATGGTGGTTCTGAAACGTTGGCTCTATTCCAGTAGGGGTGTCCCTTGGGAGACCCAGCAGATTTGACCCTCACGCCAAGCCGAGGTGAGGTTAGCGTGTGGAGCTGAGCGCCACTGGGGAGCCTGGAGCAGGAGCTACATTAGAAGTTGGAGATGGTAATAAGCTATAACATCGATGGTGACATTCTAGTGCACTTTTAAAAATCATAAAAGAGACATAATGTAAGGTAGCCACACTTCTGAAGGTGGGTGGCAGCGTAGAACGGAGCTAATCACACACACTTCCTGGGATAATTTGTATTTTCCTTCGGAATTCATCGTGAATGTGATTTCTCGCAGCCCGTTTCCCAGTTCCGTTGTTTGATTTTGCTGGATCAGGTTGTGTTTTCTGAGGACTTTCCACCCCTAAGTGTCCAGTTTAGAATATGGTGGGTAGGGGGTGGGGGTACAGCTCAGTGGTAGAGCATGTGCTCAGCATGCATGGAGTCCTGGGTTCAATACCCAGTACTTCCGTTAAAGAATGTTAATTACATAGGCAAATAAAAGTATCACATATTAAAAAAAAAAAAGAATATGGTGGACAGCAGAAGGAGGCCAGCCTGGGTAGAAACTTTCTGGTGAACATTTGAAGGTCAACACTTAGTGGCACTGTTAATAATAGCCAAGGCTTTTGGACACGTGCTGGGTGCCAGGAGTGGATAAACGCCTTGGTTAGTTGATCTTGTTTAATCCTCAGAAAACCTTATGATACACAGACTATTATTAGGCCTGTTTCTGCAGATTAGGAAGTTGAAGCTTAGAAAGGTTAAGTGACTTGAAGGTCAGACAGCCAGAAGTGGCAGCATTGAGGTACAAACCCAGTTTCCTCCTAGTCCCTATGGAATAGCGTCTTGACACATCTTTATCTTCTGCATTGTGATTATATCAGTAGGCTATTTTAAAGCAAGTAAGGTAAGAAGTTTTGATTTTATGGAGCAAGAAAACAGTAAATAACTAAAGTAAAATAAATAAATGTTCAAAAAATTATTTAAACGAAATCTTTAAAAAGGATGAAGCTTGGTGTTAGAGAACAGGGCAGGTACCTTTCAGCGTTATCCTAGAAGACCTGTCCGGCCAGACTCCACTGTTTGCTGTACGTGTGGCATCTGAATTAGCTGTCCCTTTGCTGTCTCTTTGAAGAAGGTGGCCCAGACCGAGAGCCCTGGCAGTACCTGTCCCTTTGTCTTGAACAGGAAATAAATGACCCTTTCTGGTATTACTAGAACGAACCCTTGGCAAATTCTCTTAGCGAGTTTCTGGCTTTTGGTCACAAGGCATAGGGCAAGCTGATGGGGCGGTCTGGTAACTGACATCCCTGGAGACTCAGGGTTGCTGCTCACAACCCCTGGGGTCTGCGTCTCCCCCACTCAAGTGTGTGTCACTGCACGAGAGGGGTGTACCTTGATTAGTGTTGACTCCTGCTGGTGTATAATAAAAAATTTTGTTCAAAGAGTTTTCAAAGTAACAAGCTTGTTGAAACAGTGTTTTAATTTGAAGTTGTCATAGAAAACAAACTTAGGGTTATGGGGAGGGTAGGGGAAGGAGGTCGGAAGGGATGAAGGGGTAAATTGGGATTTGCAGACTTACACTATTGTATATAAAATAGCTAAACAGCAAGGTCCTACTGTATAGCTCAGGGATATATGTAATACCTTATAATGGCTTAAATGAAACAAATATGAAAAGGAATGTAGAATATATGTATAATTGGGTCACTATGCTGTACACCAGAAATTAACACAACATTGTAAATTGATTATACTTCAATTAAAAAAAAAAGAGATAAAGTTGAGTCTTACAGAAGTGGCTTGCTTGGAAAATGGATAGTAGGGCCGTAGAAATGTAAAGGGGTCTTGTGATCTAGGGTAGAGTGTCTGCTGTATCTCAGCATAGCTCACATATAAGGGGATAATATTTGCATTGCACATGGGGTAAGCAGTTGGCACTGCCGACCAGAGGCTGCTTGGGATCTTGGGGGCCCAGAGCCCACCTGCTACTCAAGGATGGAAGAGATCAAGGTCCTCCCCACCTGTCAAGGACCAGGAGGGAAGCTCTGATGGATGACATTTTTAAACCCAGTCCATACATTTCTGCAAAACTAGCTTTATGGTTTTTGAGGTGTTTGATTATAAAAATAAGTTCTCAGTTGAGAGGATGCCAATTTCTGCAGTTTATTTTTTTAAAAGAAAACTTGTTTTATAGTGATTCTGTATTTATACCTTCTCTCTGGAGACTTAAGGTCGTTGAAAAATAAATAATAGTATGCCTGCTTTAAGCAGAAGTGGGTCTCTGGTCACCTATAACATGATAGATTTTGAACATCACGTCTGTGACTTTAGTAACTGACGGGGTCTTTCTTGATGGATGGTTTCTAAGGAAACATTCTCAAAATCAACTCTTGGGCACTGATTGTTTTTTTACATCTGGTTATACAGAACTCATCAAAATTACCAGGTTTTCTCCCAAGTGATCACCATGGTTTTAAAAATGATTAGTATTAAGTATCCTTCAATGTGATGCTTGTAATCATGGTCTTCATGTGAATTCATAGACCATCAACTCTGAGAGTTAGGTGAATGAAAGCTAAGGGGGCCGTCTTTTCAATAAAAGGACTGAAGATTCTTAAAAGCATGAGCTGAGAGATGAAAATGCTGACCTAGAAACAGGTGAGCTTTGTATGATGTCCCTGAGGTGACCATTGACTGGGAGTGGAGCCAAGGGACACTGGGTTGTCTATTTTGAGTTTCATGGTTCTTTATTCCTGTCTCATCATTTTGGGTTTCCAGCTGAGATGATCCAACGGAGATTAGAGGACCTGGAGAAAGAGAGAGGCAGCCTGAACTTTCAGCTTCCTTCGAGGCAGCCGGCCCTTAGTGGCCTCCTGGGCCACCTGGGGGCTGTCCTGCGCCGGGCGGCTCAGCGGTAAGTACTCTCCCCTGTGGGCTCTTTTCCAAGCTGGGAGGGGCTGAGCCCCAGAGACCCTTAGCTGCCTTTCCCTGGGAAGCACCGTTCTGTTGGCTGAGCAGGTGGGGGTTCCTTCCAGAGGGAGGGACCAGTGTGGGTCACGTGCCCTAAGAGGCCTTCCGCTCAGTGGCAGGAGGGAGCTTCAACAAGCCCAGGCATGGCCAGGTGCTAAACTCCCCCTGGGCGCCCCCCTCCCTGAGAAAGTGGGGGTGGATGTTCCCCTGTCCGGGGCAGCAGGGTCTTCTGTCATTGTGTGACACCAGTAAGATCCACAGACGGTCCTCTCTGACTGAGGGATGAAAACACAAAGACATTCTCCTCCTAACTCTGCCTCCAGCTCCTGAGCATCTTCCCCTGCTTCTGCTACCCAGAGGTGCCCTGGATGAGTAGGTGGGGAGCAGTCACTATTGCTGATTCGGTGGTTCTCAATCCTGGCTCCACGTTTGAATCACCTGGAGAGCTTTTAAATATCCACCTTCCACCCCAGACCAACTAAGTCAGGCAGTCTGGGGGTGAGTCCCAGGCACCGGGCTGTTTGAGAAGTCTGGGAACCACTGTTCTCATCTGCCTGCTGGTTACCTCTCTCCTCGGATAAAGGCTTGGACAGAACCAGTTGCGATGAAGACTGTCAGCCTAATCACAGCGCAGGTCTGCTTCTACTTAGATATAAATGTGGCCACAGCAATTATACTGTATTTCCAATTCCCGGTTGGCTCTGACAGTCACAAGCCTGTCTGGCCAATTCCTCATTTTACATTCAGTTTATCTTGGGGTCACCCCAGAGCCTGTCTTAACAGCGAGGCTAGTCATTTTGTCCTGTAGTTTTGAGGGTAGCATGGAGCAGAGTGTCTGGTACCTCGTAGGTGCTTCCTTATAAATTTTTTTTAAATTGAAGTATAGTTGGTTTAAAATGTTGTGTTAATTTCTAGTGTACAGCACCAGTTATAAATACACATACACACACAGTGGAATACTACTCAGCCATAAAAAAGAATGAAATAATGCCATTTGCAGCAACCTGGGTCGGCCTAGAAATAATCATATTAAGTGAAAGAAGTCAGACAGAGAAACACCAATATCATGATATGACTTATTTGTGGAGTCCAAAATATGCCACAGGTGAACTTATTTATGAAAGGAAATAGACTCAGACATAGAAAACAAACTTATGGTTAAGAAAGGGGAAAGGAAGGGGGATAAATTAGGAGTTTAGGATTAGCAGATACACACTACTGTATATAAAAGAGATAAACAACAAGGCCCTACTGTACAGCACAGGGAATGATATTCAATATCCTATAATGATATTCAATCATCTATAACGGAAAAGAATATGAAAAATACATATAAATGTTTATGTATAACTGAATCACTTTGCACCAGAAACTAACACAACAGTTGTACATCAACTACACTTCAATTAAAAAAAACTAATAAAACAAACGAGAAACTCAGTCTATAAAATTATCTTGCCAACTGCCCAGCCAGCCTGTGACATTCGTCACTGGTAGGATTATCTGGACTTGCAGTTTCCTCTGAACCAGCGGCTTTGGCTACAGTTCTCACGGCGGCCGCCAGGGGGACACGGTGTCAGGCCGGAGCTCCCACAGCAGGAGCCTGGACAGAAAGGTTTCTCGGCGGCGGGGGGCGGGCTCTGAGTCGAGGGGGACAGATGATGCTTTCCCATGCTGGTGGTTTTCCTGTAGAAATCGAACAGTTGTATCGACTTGGCAAATGCTCAATACTAATTAATAACACAGTAGTGCCTGTTCACCTTGTTGGGGTCAAGTGTTTCCTGGACAACGTAAGAGAAGCTGCAGACTTCCGTGGCGACATCGCATCCGTACACACACACGGAGGACGGCATGCGGTTTGGCGAGACCCACGGGTCTTCTGAGCTTATTCATTCCCTCTCTGGGGGGGTCTTTGGGTCTCAGGTGAAGAGCATTTGGTTTAGAATAAGATTGGAGGAAGCGTCCACACCCGCGTACAGTCAGGTACCTCACCTTTTATTTTCACTGCCCCTCGGGTCTTCATAATCCCTGTCTGAGCTCAGCTCTTTAGGAAGCGCCGTTGAATTCTCTGAGCTTGTGTAGAATACCTGACTCACACTCGATTTGTCCAGGTCCTTCCAGCAGCCCAGAGAGTGTTGGCTGTCACCGAGGGCGTTCACAGGGCGCCTCTCAAAGTAGGTGTCGGCGCTCAGAGGGTTTGGCATGTGTCGCTCTCGGTTTTTGGTTCCGCACTGCTCGGTCCTCTGACTGCTGCCCTGGGGTGGGGGTGTCTCTGCTCAGCGGGGTACAAAAGCGTCAGGTTGAACTGTTCCCTGGTCTGCTGTGCTCTGTGGAACCCGTCTCTCCTATTTCTTTGTGATATCTTGGGTAGATAATACAGATGTCCAGGGCATTTTTAGTTGCTGATGCTCATTCAGTCCAGTCCAGTTTGAAACTTTTATTTATTTACTTATTTTTTTGGTCTTTATTTATTTATTCATAGAGGAGGGACTGGGGATTGAACCCAGGACCTCATGCATTTCTAAGTATGCGCTCTACCACTGAGCTATACCCTCCCCCCCGAAACTTCAATAGCACATCCGGTTCAGATCTTTCCATGTCCTGCTCCTGCTGTATCCTTCACCCGGTCCAAAGACGGTTCTCTTTTCCTTTCTCCCAAGAGAGGGGTTTGGTCTACGATTGCACCTGTGACTGATAATTTTCCCATCAACGCTCTGCATTTCTCTGACTGTGCGCCCTACGTGTTTTCCCATTGGACCAACACCAGCATGTACGTGAAACGAGCAAAATACAACAAAGTTTAGAAACAAAGATATACAATGGTTTTGCCAATGTGGGCTTATCAAGGCAGAGCTCTGGTTGGCCTGTCCAACTACTTCCTGTGCACATGCTTCCTCTGCGATGGGAACAGGACAGAGAAATGTGCAGCTCACCGGGTTTCTGGGCTGAGTCACTTCTCCTCTGACGAGTTCTTCCTGTCTTCCTTTTGAAACATGTGATTCTGTATTTCCATTTAATTGTCACGTCCGGGACCATCATGCTGTAGAATCCAGTGACAATCTGCTCTGAGTGCATGGGCTGGAATGAAGTCCTGAAGACTACCAAGTAACTGGCACAGACACATTTTACCAGAGATACAAAACGAGTTGCCTACATTATGGCACAGCATAAAAGTGATCATTGTTGCCAACAAACAACAATGTTGTTTGGGAGATGTTTCGGGACCCCTGATCACAGCTTGGGCCAAATGGGGATGAGTGTGGCCTGTGTCCCTTCCAGGAGACCCCCCTCCCGACCCCTTGTCATCACCTCGAGAAGATACGGGAAGAAGGAAAAGAGAAAAATCAGCTGAGGTGAGTCACAGAGGACTCCTCAGAACTTGTAAAAATCAGTGGGTTATAAATAAAAGCTTCCCAGTTATGCTCTCCATGTCACCCTCTTCACTCAAATTCACCTGAGGTCTGTCTGAAGCCAGTGGTATCAGGCGCAGTTATTACAAACCTGAGGAAATATCCATGCGCCCCTCCTGGCGTCACCACTGTGGGTGGGATAAGACAGCAGAGAACAGGGGTGCCCTCTCTCCTCAGGTGTATCATGTTTACTCCATTCTTTTTACTTTTAGACCCAAATCAGATATATAAGGAAGAACCGTAAAGTTACCTGTATCGTGTCTGGCAAGTTTACAATATTTGTTTGGGCCGTCAGAGTGACCTCAGTAATTTGTGACGTTGGTTGTTGGCTGAGGAAGCTATTTCTAGCTTTAAAGCACACTTCAGTGACTGTATGACTGGCCCAAACCACTTCCCTCTCACCGTCTTCCACTGAGGGAGGGGCGGGAACACCTAGGTCAGATGATGTAAATTTGACAGAGGAGTTGTCGACACGGAGCAGCAGTTTGCAAAGCTATTCAGAAGGTCCTACCCCAGACTTGCTGCCAGAAGTCATCTTCTGAACTGAGGTTTTCCTCTCTGTGACAGTGAGAGCATCAGTTTTTGGTCCTTTCTTCCATTAAAAGCACCGGTCCTAGCAGTGGCACCAAAGAGCAATTTTGCTGACATCACGAAGACTCTGTGTCGGGAGGGGACCCTCTGTGTTATATGTCCATCTGTATAAACAGCAATTGGCGGGAGATGTCCCAACAGGTGGAACGTCTGGGGTCCCCTCTGCCCTGTCTGTTCTCACTCTAGACCTTCCTGAAGGCGGTCCTTCGAGCAAGGGCAGGACACTGGGGGGTCCTGGACCCCAGCATGCTGGGGAGGAGGTGGCCACGTGCATTTGTCACTCACGCACCCCCATTAACCACCAGGCTCAGGAAGCATCCTGACTTTCGGGTTACGGTTGGGGGATTCATTCTTGTCTCAGTATTACTGAGCTCTGTGCTCACAAAAGTCACAGGGTGCATCTTATTCCCCGGGATGAAAAATGTCCTCTGCAATTTGGGGCTAAACTTATTTTAGGAGTACAGGGCCTTATTATACAAATGGGTTTCATCTGTCTGTAAACGATCAGAGGAGAAAGAAGAAAGTAGAAAGGCCAAGACTGTTTCAGCGCCGCACGGCCCCCCGATGGGGGCTTGCGTGAAACCTCAGGCTGACGGTGGTGTCACCCCGAGTCCCCGTTGGCACCGAGTGCCACGCTAACATTCCAACCCACGTGTGTTTAATCCTGAGGGATTTGCTCATCTTCCACACTGATTAGTTTATAGAAGCGACACTAATTTGCACTGACGTTTGGGATTACACATTGAGGTTTATTAAAATAAAGGGAACCACACTGCAGAGGGAAGAGGGAGCCTGGCTCCGAGCACGGGAGAGCTGAGTTGGAAGCCTGTCCCTTGCTTCATTACTGAGCTGTGGTGTGTCCTGGGGCCATCCCTCCGCCGTCTGAGGATGCTTCTCCTACCCGAGTCAAAGTCTGAGAGGCACAGAGAGGAGTTTTGGGTAATCACAGGGGCTTTTCTTCCGGATTAAGTAATGAATGTGATTAACAAAAAGAGAGAGAATTCCCAGTTACCCACCTGTGACTCCTCTGCAGCTGATTTTCAATTCTGTGTTGATTTCCTCCAATAACTCCCACCCCGACCCAGATGGTATCTATTTAGGAAATTCAGACAACTCAATATTTGCATAAGCAGAGCAAATTGGGAAATAAATTAGTGCAAAGAAATGATCTAATGTAATAGAAAGCTGAATATAAAGGACTTCTGGATTTTCTAGGGCATGGACTCATTAAGTCACTCAAGATATATCTGCTGAGCCCCACTCAGCGCTGGGCATGAGGGGCAAAAACTTCCGAGGCTCGGCTGGGTGGCCAGGCTGAGACTGGGGCCCAGAGGAGGAAGTGGGTCCCCTTCCTGCTATAGCCGATGATGGTTGCCTCCCAGGGGCCTCCCCTTCTGACATGTGTGAAGGACCTCAGAAGCACCTCGTCTTTAACCTTCATTACCCCGTAAGGACAGTCTGTCCCTTGCACCTGCGCACAGCGTTCACTTTCCAGATGCGAACACTGAGGTGGGAGGGGAGCGGCCAGCTCCCCGAGGACAGAGGTGCTCCATCTCTCAGCCCATGTGGCCCCGGTGCGAGGGTGGAGACTGTACACAGCAGGTGCTCAGTGGCCATTTGTTGAATAAATCTGATCCCTGTAATTAGCCATATAGGGAAGACATCGTCATCATCACCATCACCATCATCCTTGTTTTAAAAACGAGGGAGGTAAGGTTCAGAGAAGTTTGGTAAGTCCAAGGACACACAGCTAGAAAAAGGTGGAGTTAAGGCTTCAGCCATGGACGTCTGCTCCCTGTGCCTGTCATTCTCAGCTGCCCCTGTTAAACAAGGAGCCAGGGGATTTGATCATCGGTGTGCGTGGCATGTGGCTAGAAGCCAGGAGGAAGCACAAGTTTATAATCTTGCTGAGAGCCTAAACGGCACATGGTATCCTGGAAGGGGCTGGAAAGTGGGATTCAGCCTGACGCCCCGTTGACTGACTCCTCAATTCTGCTTCTTGCTCAGAGTGAGTCGCTCACTCTCCCTGACACTGTGTCCTCCCTGGCAAAACTGCAAAAACAGCATTCTCATCTTAGGTCTGCAGTGAGGGGTGAGTGCGATAGGACTGATAGCATCTGGTGTGCAGTAAATTCTCCGTTCGTACTGGCTGATCTTTTTATTATCAGTTTACGAAATATTTAATGCTACTACTACTGTCGTAATTTGTCTTTACGCGCATGGAACAGAGAGTAACAGGTCTTAAAATAAATGTCTAAGCTGTGTGGTGTGTTACCGTAAGTCAGCTGCTTTCAAGAAAAAAAAAGCTGAAGTGACTATTTTCAGCCGTCGCTTCTAAAAGCCCTAGTGTTGCTTCACCACCGTGCTCGGTGGGGTTGCTTGTTTCTAAGTGCCGCGTTGAGATTTAGGAAGTGGGAGCATGACTTCCACCTTGCCACCCCTGCAGTGAGTAAGTCTGAGCCTTAGGGTGAGCGTTTATCTGTTGTCTTGGTTTATGCATCACTTCTGCTCCGTGTAGGAACCACGTCTTTTTGCCGCTGTGTCTCTGGCACCAAGCCCAGTCCGTGGCACTTGGCGGGTGGACTTAATGATGGTTTTTCTTTTTCTGAATGAATGAATGGATGAAGTGGGTAGGAGTGAAAGAGCTGGACGGAGTGTATTTGGATCGGCAGTCAACTTCTTTCCTAAGAAATGTGGCGGCTGTGAGATCCTGCGTGAATGTACAAATCAGAACAGAGAGCTTCACACTGCTACGTGAGGAGCCCTGAAATCGACATGTGTGTGGCAGCCAGGTTCCAGCTGCAAGGAGGCAGGTCCCAGCGAGAGGGGACAGGGTTAGTTTATGCCTCAGACTCTCAGAGCCATAGGGACCGGCCCCTCTGCAGGGACGATGCCCTTGATCATTAACACATTCAGACACAGACTGTTAATTTAAATGTCCAAAGCCTACAAAAGATTGGTGATAGTTTAAGAAAACAGCACAGCTACTTAGTGTTTGGGGTAGAAGACATTTTTATTATAGTTGTAGGAATAATATGCGTTCATTATAGAACACTTAGAAAATAAAAGACGGGCCAAAAGAACTAATCCCACCGCCCAGAGATAAAAGCTGATAATAATTTGGTGGCTATTTTCCTTTTATTTTAAATACGTGCTGTTTTTATAATAGTTGGTTCACGTTATACAGAATACCATAACACCTGCTGTAAAGGACAGCGATGTATAGTGAACGTTTTCCACGCAGTGTTATCTTCTTTGGTGGCCCAACTTTAGTGGTGGCGTGGCCCTCCTCCGGTGGCTGTGCTGTGGTGTTCCCCTCTGATCCTCATCTGGGGCCACAGGTATGGTGTGTTCAGTTTTTGGCTACTAAGGTAAAATGTGTTGGGGTTTTTTTTTTTTTTTTGGTAGCTATTCTTTGTGTTTATCTGTGATTATTTACCTATAGTGGATTCTCAGAATGGGAACATTACGATCCAGTTACATTGCATTGTAGATCTAATTCTTATTTCCTGTGCTCACTGAGGAATTATGGTTTCTGGAAACTTTTGCCAGGCTGTCAGGTGAAACGTGATATTCTGTGTTGTTTAAATTTGCATTTAAAACCGTTTTTGATAAACAGACTCACAGACATAGAAAACAGGCTCATGATTACCAGGGTAGAAAGGGGGTGAGAAGGGATAAATTGGGAGTTCGAGATTTGCAGATACACACTACTATATATAAAATAGTGAATAACAATTTTCTACTGTACAGCACAGGGAACTGTATTCCATATCTTATAGTAACCTATAATGAAAAAGAATATGAAAACAAATATATATGTATATCTATGAAACATTATGCTGTACATCAGAAATTGGCACATTGTAAACTGACTATACTTCAATTAAAAAAGTTTTTTTAAACTTTTTTTTATTGAGTTATAGTCATTTTACAATGTTGTGTCAAATTCCAATGTACAGCACAATTTTTCAGTTATACATGAACATACATATATTCATTGTCACATTTTTTTTGCTGTGATTTATCATAAGATCTTGCTTATATCCCTGTGTTATACAGTGTAATCTTGTTTATCTATCCTACATTTTGAAATCCCAGTCTGTCCCTTCCCACCCCCCGCCCACTTGGCAATCGCAA